TAATGTGATCTTTATTGAGAAGCAGCTTTGCCACAAAGACTTGGAGGACGTGAGGAAAAAAGCCAAGAGGTTGTATGGGTGAAAAATATTCCAGAAATAAGGAACCTGTGCAAAGGTCCTTGCAAAGGTGCAAAAAGAGGACAGTGTGGCTGGAACACAGTGGCAAAGGGCAAAGTAACAGGAGACCCTGAGGGTTTGGAAACTTTGTGGTCAGATAGCTTAGGCCTGCAGTCACTGCAAGGACTCTCCACTGTCTAACTTCATCTCATCCTGCTTTTTTTTTTGAGACAGAGTCTCACTCTGTTGCCCGGGCTAGAGTGCCGTGGCATCAGCCTAGCTCACAGCAACCTCAGACTCCTGGGCTCAAGCGATCCTCCTGCCTCAGCCTCCCGAGTAGCTGGGACTACAGGCATGTGCCACCACGCCTGGCTAATTTTTTAATTTCTTTCTATTTTTAGTAGAGACGGGGGCTCAGGCTGGTCTCAAACTCCTGAGCTCAAATGATCCACCCGCCTCGGCCTCCCAAAGTGCTAGGATTACAGGCCTGAGCCACCACGCAGACCTCATCCTGCTTTCTTGCAGGGAACGCCCTTGGTTACCTGCAACACCATCAGGCAGCATTTCCCCAGCCCCAGGCAAGATTAAAGACCCTGGGTTTCACTCCTCAGGGCTTTTTTTTTTTCTTTTTCCAGAGACAAAGTGTTGCTCTGTTGTCCAGCTGGAGCACAGCTCACTGTAGCCTCTAACTCCTGGGCTCAAGCGATCTTGCTTCAGCCGCGCTAGTAGTTGGGGCTACAGGTGCTCACCACCACATTGGGCTAACTTTTTTATTTTTTGTAGAGACCAGGGTCTTGCTATGCTGCTTGCCCAGGCTGGTCTTGAACTCCTGGCCTCAAGTGATCCTTCCTCCTCAGCCTCCCAGAAGTGCAGGATTACAGGTGTAAGCAAACACCGAGGCCATGACAGGCATTAAAACAATTTTTTTTCCCTAGAACTAACAGTAGAAGGAAGAAAGGCATTTTTTCTTTTCTTAATTTTAATGTTTTAATTTTTTTGACAAGTCAAGTGCAGCAGTGAGAAGGGGGAAGAGTAGAAGTAGTGCAATCTGTAACTGACTGTGAGCAATCAAGTGAGATAACTCACTACCTTTGGACCAGCTAGGCATTTTTAAAGTTACATCAGGATATGGTATTTTAGAACATTTTAATTTGAAAACTGGATTTTTGTTTTAATTTTTGCCTTGCTTGCACCGGAATGAGTGGAAATACCAATGTTTCTTGCCTGTCAAGGGACTCTGGAAGCTCTCTCTTTCCCCAGGATCTATACTGCAAGGCAGTAAGGGCGGTGGAGGGAAGGCCTGAGATTCTATCTAGAGGCTTCTAGGGAGGGGCTGCTGACTAATGACGGAGGTTGAGGAGGGGGGAGGGGAGTGAGTGGGAGGGAACAAGGATATGACCTAGGGCCCTGGAGAGGGATTAAGAGGGAGTGGGCTGCTGCCTAGAGACAGCTGGTGAAGACCCACAGTGAGGACCCTGCTTAGGCACCCAGAAATCCCCTGGGAGCTGAGTCCTCAAGTGCCAGACCCTGGTGCACCCTGGACAAGGGCAGGTTTTAGTTCTCCGCAGCTGGAGTGATCTGTGAGCACGTCCCCGCATCTGGGAAGACATCTGCCCTTTCAACTCCCTCACTTCTGCTTGAGCTCGGTTGGCACAGCTATGTGGACCCCCCCCACACCCCCACCTCTGCTGACCCCTAATAGCTCGGGGGCCCAGGTACCCAGCAGGGAACGTGGTGGAATCTGAACCACAGAGTGGGAAGGGAGGACGCCCACCACCAGCTGAACCAACCTGGAAGGCAGCTCCTGGCCCTGTCCCTAGAGCCAGGCCCTCATTCTTTCCTCTGAATAGCAATTGGATGAAAGGTTTTAGCAATGACGGGGGACATCAGCTGAAAATCCAATCAGGATAAACCGGCTCAGACACGTGACTGGAAAAAGACTGAGTTGTAACGGGCTTAAAAGGCGTGGGATCTTCTGCTCCAGCCTCAGAAAGGGCTTTGGAGAGCAAACCCGGACTCGCATGCACGCAGGAAGTAGCGCTGCTGAGCTGGGGACAAATCTCTCCCGGAGGTGGAAACAAGGACTTTCCAGTTGGCCCTCCCCTGTGGCGCGGAGTGGAAAATACTGATTCGCGCCGAATCGTCTGGAAAGGCAACTTTAGGAACCGGTGAGCTAAGAAACTTGGTATCTTCCGTTCTGCTCCTCTAGAACCAGGATTGGCAAACTTTCTGTGAAGAGCTAGATAGTAAATATTTAAGGCATTTGGGGCCATGCGGTCTCGGCTGCAACTGCCGGAAGTCCTTTGTCTATGGTTTTGCTTCTCGTGGTTTCAGTTACCCGCGGTCTGAAAGCATTAAGTCGAAAATTCCAGAAGTAAGCATACGTTCTAGATACTGCTCTGTTTCTGAGTAGCGTGATGCGATCTTGCCGTAGTCACAGTCCTCCCGACCTGGGACATGAATCCAACCCGTGTCCAGCGACTCCACGCTGTGTTCGCTCCCCGCCCTTTAGTCACCGAGGAGCCATCTCAGTCATTAGATCAGATCAAGTGCAGCAGGGTCACAGTGCTTGTGTCCAAGTGATCCTTATGTTACTTAATAATGGCTCCAAAGCACAAGAGTAGTGATGCTGGCAATTTGGATATGCCAAAGATAAGCCGGAAAGTGCTTCCTTTAAGTGAAAAGGTGAAAGTTTTCCACGTAAGGAAAGAAAAAAAAAAAATTCTATGCTGAGATTGCTAAGATCTACAGTCCATTAAGATATTTTGAGAGAGAGACTACATTAATATAACTTTCATTACAGTATATTGTTATAATTGTTTTATTTCGTTATTAGTTATTGTTAATCTCTTACTGTGCCTAATTTACAAATTAAACTATCGTTGGTATGTATATATAGGAAAAAAACATAGTATATGGAGAGTTATGCACTATCTGTAGTTCCAGGAATCCACTGGGGGTCTTGGAACATATCCCCTGAGGATGAGGGGGAACTACAGTACTTGACTGTCTCTTTTTTGTTTTATTTTGAGGCAGGGTCTAGCGCTGTTGCTCGGACTAGAGTGCAGTGGCTTCATGGTAGCTCACTGAAACCTTGAAATCCCAGGCTCAAGTGATCTTCCTGCTTCAGCCTCTCCGGTAGCTGGGACTATAGGTGCTCACCACCACGCCTGGCTAATTTTTCTTCTTCCTATTTTTAGTTGCTCATCTAATTTATTTTTATTTTTAGCAGAGACGGCGGCGGGTGGGGGGGGTGTCTTGCTCTTGTTCAGGCTGGTCTCGAACTCCTGACCGCCAGCAATCCTCCCGCCCCAGCCTTCCAGAGTGGTAGGATTACAGGTGTGAGCCACCATGCCTGGCCAAATTTTTCTAATTTTTGTAGAGAGGTAGGGGTAGGTGGGATCTCTGCTGTGTTGCTCAGGCTGGTCTCAAACTCCTGGCCTAAAGCGATCCTCCAGCCTTGGTCTCCCAGAGTGCTAAGATTAGAGGCATGAGCCACCACAGCGGCTTCGACTCTGTCTTACAAAAGTAGCCCTGGGCAATGGCACTAAACATGATCATGGCCGTGTTCCAACAAAACTTTATTGTGAACACTGAAATTTTGAATGTTACATCATCTTCACATGTCACAAAAATATTTGTTTTTTTTCATTTCCCCAAAGTAAAAAACATAAAAGTTTAAAAAACTTAATAACGAAAGAAAAGGAAAAAAAATCCTTAAAATGTAAAAAAATTCTTAGCTGCTAGCTGTACAAAAACAGGTGGAGGGCCAATTTGCCAATCTGTGTCTTAAACCATTTTTTGCCAAAAGGCAGCTGGCATCCCATTAGTGAACTGCAAAATAATTTTAGTGGGCTGCAATCAGCTTACAAAAAAAAATGTTTTTCACTGACCCTAAGATTTCCTTCAATTGTAAGATATGTTACTTCTTTTTTTTTTTTTTTCACATCAGATGGGTAAAGTGCTGACGAGGTAACAAGGTTTGAAGGAGGCACATCTCACACACGAGTGTGAAAACCTAATCATGCTTATGAACTACAAAAGGATCCAAGAGACATTATTTTTGATACTACTATAAAATAAAAATATATGCTACAAAACAAATTATTAAATTTATTTCATATTGATGAGACACTGTGATGAGATGTAATCTGATTTCAGAGATGTTAAAATGGAAATATAAGTGTGCACCTTAGAACTAATGAAATGCGTTAATGGCATAGAAGGTATCAGCCTATCCCTTGTGGTGAGGTGAAGGTATTAGAGCATTTGAGAAGATTTTTGTTTCAATTTATACACATAGTTTACCTTTTCCCTTGCAGGATACTGTTATATTGTTTGGATTTGTTAAATGCTTGGAGAACCTGGAATTAGTGAGTTAGAGTCTGTTGTAGGCCCAAACAAGCATATTTATAACAGCTGCTATTTAGTTATTTTACAAACAGTTAGCATGTAGGGTAGCACAGACATTGCTCTAGAAGTAGTAAATGGAACACAAATCCCTGACCTCATGTAGCTTATAGTCTAGTGGGCAGAAATAGAAAAGAAGCAAGACATTTTATATTTCATCATAGGCAGTGATAAATACAAGTTGAAAAATAGCATTGGGGCCGGGCATGGTGGCTTACGCCTGTAGTCCTAGCTACTTGGGAGGCTGAGGCGGGAGGATCACTTGAGCCTGGGAGTTTGAGGTTACAGTGAGCTGTGGTCATGCCACTGCACTCCATCCTGGGTGACAGAGCGAGACCCTGTCTCAAAAGCAAACAAATAAAAAAGTAAACATTTAAAAAAATGTTATCTCAGTGTTTTAAGGGAGGATTAAATAAAGTCCTTTGAAATAAATACTGACTGTTCTCACGTGGTTGTGCTTAGGTGGCAATTTCTAAAAAGACAGCATTGGACGTTGAAGGGATCGCTGGCTTCAAGCAAAAAGTAATTTGAAAATGGCAGATCTCTTCTCGTGTGAGGAAGAACAAGAACCACAACCGCTGAAGAAGAACGTAAGAGAATCCAAACAGAGGGACAAGGCTGAGGAAGATGATGACCTGATCTTTGTTGGGGTGGAACATGTAAATAAAGACCCTGAAATTCTCTTTGTCAGGATGATTTCAAATCCAAAACCCATCATTTCAAACATTTTGAACAGAGTCACCCCGGGCTCAAAGAGAAAGAGAAGCCACCTCCGTCAAGATCCTGTTCAAGAGTCGCAACCTGCAAATCACACGGCCCCTACAGCACAAGCTGTGGCGCCAGTTTCCCAGTCGGAGTGGAGATCAACAGATGGTCCTGTTACTATTGAGTCTTCACCTAACCCTGGCTGCGAAATGAGCTCACCACAAGTTCTTCCTGACAATTCCTCGGCTTTGCTCTCCCCAAGGATTCAGCGTCTAGTTGGAGCTGTGCTCTCTGCAGGAGGCAGAGATGTGAGTCCTTGTGATTCCAAACAACTTTCCACTTCAGATATAAATAGCAGGAATCCCCAAAGGGCTAAATTCAGGGATGGAATCCCAGGGGTACATTCTTTAGCTGTGGTTCCCTCAGGTCTCCCTCCCATAATGCCAAGTACACCCTCACAGGTTGCCTGTAGCACATCAAGCTGTGTTCCGAATGGAGCATCATTTCCTTGGGCTGATGATAACAAAAAGTCACATATCAATCTTATGGATGGAGCAAATGGTTCTGAAGGACTGGTAATAACAGACTTTTCAACTCTAGCAAGTCAAAACCAGACCCTTGACCCCGAGAAAGGAAATCTGATCATGTTACTTAGTGACTTTTACTACGGACAGCATAAAGGAGACGGGACGCCAGAGCAGAAGACTCACACAATCTTTAAATGCCACAGCTGCTTGAAAGTTCTAAAAAATGTTAAGTTTATGAATCACGTGAAGCACCATTTGGAACTCGAGAGGCAGAGGAGTGACAGCTGGGAAAACCACACCACCTGCCAGCACTGCCACCGGCAGTTTCCCACTCCCTTCCAGCTGCAGTGTCATATTGAAAGTGTGCACACTACCCAGGAGCCCGCAGCTGTCTGTAAAATCTGTGAACTGTCATTTGAAACAGATCAGGTCCTCCTACAACACATGAAGGACAATCATAAGCCTGGGGAAATGCCCTACGTGTGCCAGATTTGCAATTACAGATCGTCGGCCTTTGCTGATGTGGAAGCACATTTTAGAACGTGCCACGAAAACACTAAAACTTTGCTTTGTCTGTTTTGTTTCAAGATTTTCAAAACTGCAACAGGATACATAAATCACTGTTGGAGGCACTGGAACGAGAAAGTCTTTCGATGTCCCAAGTGCCGACTACAGTTTTTGACTTTGAAGGAGGAAATCGAGCACAGATCCAAGAATCATCAAACATTTAAAAAGCCAGAGCAGATGCAAGGGTTGCCTCCTGCAACGAAAGTCATTATTCAAACTTCAGTTCGATCAGTATCAAGAGATGCAGCTTCCATTACTGTGAGCAACACTGACCTTGGCCTGTCACCTGTCACCTAGAATGATGGCTACGAACACTATAGATTCCAGACTCCCTTGCAACAAGAGTTCTGGCTAAAAATATTTTCTGTCCACCTCCAGGAATTCTGAAAGGCAGAAGTGAGACTAGGCCATCTGTACATCTGTGGCTGCAGGTGCTAAAATGCAATGTCACCAACTGTCAGGTTTTATTTACAGTGACATCTCATCAGCTCCCTACTCTCAACAAGTAGCTCAGAAGTCTGCTTCATGATCCTTCCCAGTCAAACTCCTCCCCACAAAGTAATCAATATTCTGACCTCTACCATCATAGTTAGTGTTTCCTGTTTTTGAACTTTAAATAAATGGAGTCAGACAATAGATTCTTCCCTTTGGCTTGTTTCAAATAAGTGAGATGCGAGATACACCCTTGCTGTGCGTAGCAGTAGCACATTTTTTTTTTTCATTGCTGGGTAGAATTCTATTGAGTGAATATAGCATAGTTTTATATATCTGTTTGACTGCTGATGGACTTTGAGGCAGATTCTTTGCCTATTTTTGGATGAAGCTGCTATGTGCTTGTCCATGTCTTTCGGTAGACAGGTAGTCATTTCTTGTGAGTGTATGTAGCTATGAGAAGAGCTGGAACTGCATGTGTTCAGCTTTTTTTTTTTTTTTTTTACTTTTGGTGTGTTCAGCTTTTTAGTGTAGATACTACCAAATACTTTTTCAAAGTGATCGAAACAATTTTCATTCCCACCGTCAATACTGGGAAGGCCACTGCTGCTGATCCAACTCTTGACAATCCTTTTCATTAGTGTCCTTCTCTTGAAGTTGTAATGGTATAACATTGTGGTTTTAACTTGGATTTCCCTGATGGGTAATACAATCTTGAGAATATTTTCATATGGTTATTGGCACTTGGATATTGTCCTGTTTTGAGTATCTATTGAAATCTTGCTCCTTCTCCCCTTTTTAAAAAATTGGGCTGTCAACTGGGAAGGGAATGAGAGAACTGCTGAGGCACTAGAAATGTCCTGTATTTCACGTGAAGGTGTTTGAGTCATCTCAAGTTGATTTTTTATTTATGGTGTGATAAATCAAGGCATCAAGGTTAATTTTTTCATATGCATCTCCAAATCAACCAGCATCATTTACAAAAAAGACCACTTCTTTCCCCACCTTATTTCAGTGGAAACTGTGTGAATCAGGTATGACTGTATCTGTGTTTCTGGACTTTATTTCATTCCATTTGTCCAGTTCTCTATCCTTGTGCCACACTATCTTAATTATTGTAGCTTTGCATAAGTTTTGCATAAGCCTCTATATCTGCTAGTTTCCTTTCTCCAGGTTTGGTGTTAAGAATTGCCTTGGCCATTCCAGGTGCTTTGTTGAATGGAAGTGGTTATCATGAATGTTCTGGTCTTGTTCTCAAACCGAGGTACAATAGTTCACCATTAATTACGATGTTAGATGTAGGGATTTTTGTAGCTACCCACTGACTGCAGGGAAACTGAGTTATAAATCGATAATAGAAAGAACATTGAAAAAAACCCCAAAATTCAGAAATTAGGCAATACTAATACTAATACTAATACTAATACTAATACTAATACTAAACAGGGCTGGGACTAGGGTGAGCCTAAGGTGCAAAAGTGCCTCCTTAATGTGCCCCAGGCTCCTTGCTTTCCTCATCCTAGTCCTGTTCCTGGTTCCAAATAATCCATAGCTCCTCCAAAAAACTGTAATGGAGAAAGGAAAATGTTGAACTGAGTGATAGTAAAAACAACCACAAAATTTATGGGATGGAGCTAACAGTTCTTCGAAATTTATATTTCTAAATGCATATATTTGAAAAGAAGAAAGTTTGACAAATAGAACCATCTAAGTCAGTGGTGTCCATAGAACTTTCTGCAATGATGGTAATGTTCTACATCTGCTCTGTCCAATACACTACCTGTGACTACTGAGCTGTTGAATGTGGCTAGTGTGATCGAGATATTGCACCTTTAATTTTATGTATTTTTGATTAATTTAAAATTAAAGGTAGGAGAAGCAAATCTTTCTTGCTAAAGAATTCGAAGTAATTTGTGCATACTCTACCCTTAATGAAATCTTGTCCCTCTTCCTGAGCATAGGCAGAATTTAATTACTTGCTTCCAAAGAATAGGATATGAAAGGGGGAAAAAAGTCACTTTACAGTGGAGAAGCCAGAGTAGGTCATACAGATAGCATGTATTCCTGATAATAAGTGTTCGGAAGGATACATCATGTCTGTAATATTCTTCTAAAAATACATCACTGCAGTGTAACTGTGAGAAAAAACATCAAACCCAAATTGGACACATCTGCAAAATACCCGACCCTTACTTATTAAAATTGTCAATGTCATGAAAAACAAGGCAAGTTTAAGACCAGAATAGGCTAATGGTACATGAGTAAGTGCAGTTTGGTATACTGGATGGGAATCTGGCACAGAAAAAGGACATTAGTGGGAAACTAGTGAAATTTGAATAAAGCCTGGAGCTTAGTTAATGGTAATTTACTTATTTATTTAGAGACAGGGTCTCACTCTGTCCCCCAGGCTGGAGTGTGATGGTACTATCATAGCTCACTGCAGCCTCGAACTCCTGGGCTCAAGAAATCCTCTTGCCTCAGCCTCTTCAGTAGTTAGGGCTACAGGTGCATGCCACCATTTCCAGTTATTTTTTCTATTTTTTATCTCTCTATATTGCCCAGGCTGGTCTTGAACTCCTGGCCTCCCCAAATGCAGGGATTACAAGCATGAGCCACCACACATGGCCAATGGTAACTTATTGATAGATATTGGAATTATTGTGAGGCCAAAGGAAGTCATTTCATGTACATACATTTTAGACATTGGAAATATCTTCTCTACATCTATGATGTCTTAATTTTGATTATGTTACACTTCACCGAACAGAAATCTTCAAAAGTGGATTAATAGTATTTTGACCGCGTGATTTGACCATAGTGCAGCCAAATTAAAACTGGTAGAGATATACTCTGGTTTCTCTTCAGATCGAATAAATCTTTCACCTTTTACTAAAAAAAAATAAAACTGGTAGATGATGCCAATGCCTTGCAAGCAGACAAAAAAACCAAATTGCCAAATAGCTTTCAAAAATCCCAATGATTTGGAAAATAAATAGCATATTACTATATAGCTCTTGTGTTAAAAAGAGAATCACTACGGAAATTAGGACATACTTGGAATCGAAGAATAATGAACATACTACCAGGAGAAAATTGTGGGACACAGTTAAATTGGTATGTAAAGGTAAATTTATAGCATTAAATGCAAGAGATATAGAAAAGAGTTTACAAATAAGCTAAGCATTTATCTCAAAAAGGTGTAAAGAGGAACGACACAGCAAACCTATGGAGACAAGACGGAAGTAATAAAGATTAGAAGACATAAATGAAACAGAGAAGAAAATAACATTATAGATTAATAAAGCCAAATGCCGTTTTTTCCCCGTTATTTTTTCCTCAAAAGATTACTAAAATAGACTTTTGGCAGAACTGGCCAGTTAAAAAAAAATTAAAAGCTGCAAATAAACCAAGAGTGAGCAATTTTTTTCTGTAAAGGGCCAGATAGTAATTAATCACCTTTGCTGTTGCAGAAGGGAAACAGACATACACACAATACCTCAAGAATGGACATGCCCATGTTTCAATAAAACTTTGTGAACACTGAAATTTGAATTTCATATAATTTTCACATGCCACAAAATTCTTTTTTTCAGCCATTAAAAACAAACAAACCCGTTTTTATCTTGCTGCAAGCCGCACAAAAACAGGTGGCAGGCTTGATTAGATTGGCCCCCAAATCGACTTCGGGAGGGTGAACGTAAGGCTCAGTGGTTTGGTCAAGTTCTTAAGCATGGGGCAGTCAGCTAGTGTTTTTATGGAAAAGGAGGATTCTGACAGTTGAGGATTATGACAGCTAGATTCCTGCTGGGCAAACTATCCCCTGATCCTGCCCCGGGATCTGAGCCCTGGCTGGCTCTGGAACCTTGACCAGGGGCTCAGGGGGCATTCCTGCTGCCCTCCTCTCTCTCAGCCTCACACCGCGCCCCGCTATCGCCACCAGGGGCGCCAGAGCGCGCGCGCATGCGCCCAACTCGGAGCCGAGGCGACCTTACGCCCGCACCTGACGGCCAATCACAGGTCGCCCTGGGCGCGCGAGCGGCGTCCGCTGCGCCTGGGGCCTGAAGAGGCGTCTTTGCCGCCGGCTTGGCCCCGGGAGCGCCTCTGGGGCGAGTGCGTGGCTGGCAGCTTGGGGAGAGCCACCGACCGGGACTGGTGAGCACGGGCGTGTGGCGCGGCTCGCGCGTTCCCTGAGGCGAGACGGGAGGGATTGCACGGCGGGCCGCAGCCCTGAGGGGTTCCTGACCCTGCGTTGCCGCAGCGGCCTTTCCAGTGCCGCGACCTTCTGAAAGGGAGTGCGGGCCAGGCGGCCCCCGGCGGGTCCCACGACACGCTCCCTAATACCCGCTTCCCTAATCTCAGCGGGCGCCACTCTCGGTCTGCCTCCTCTCCCCAGCCCCGGGGCTAGGCCCAGCCCGGGCCTCCTGGAGGAGGGACCTATCATGGCTCCTGCCGCCCTCCCCTCCCCCGCCCCCTCAGTGGTCTCTTGTGGCGCTTTACGCATTTGAAAATCTTAAGTCCGTTTTGCAACCTCAGACCCATCCCCGTTCTGGAAATCTGTAGGCCTAGACCCCTTAAGGCATTTAAATTTGTTGGTGTCTCTTCCCTACTGCAGCATTTCCTTCTTGTTGTTTACTGCGTGTCTGCCAAGACTTCGATGCAGCAGCGCCTTGGACCCTAATGAAGTCCCCCTTGAGACCAGGACCCAGGGTGATTTGGAGGCTTTTGGTTAGGACATTTCTCAGTTGGGGAGTTTACCGAGGTAGGGTAGACTGGAGATTTGGGAAAAAGGAGTTCAGTTTTCTTTTCTGGTTAAGAGATGCTTGGTAAATATCCAAATGGCTATGTCAGGTAGGCAGTGGGATGTA